TTTGTCATAATGATATTTATATTTATATTTATATATATATATTTATAAAAGTTTGCTTTATTTTTAACCAGAGTGCTTTGAATGGCTCTAGAGTGTCATTAAATAATCCAAACTGAGTGAGAACAAAGGTAATTAAAATTGAACTCAGTGCTCTCATAATTCACCCCATCATAAGAAATGTCCACGTTTCATGGGACAAGGAACCCAAAGTAATTTTTAAAAATATAATTTTTAAATGAGATGGGTGAAAAAGGTGGAATTACAGCTGTTTACCTATGTATATATAAAAGGAGGGAAAGACTGTGTTTTCAAATACCTTAACAACTGTACTTGTCATTTGTAGCAACCGCCAAATCAAATATAACAACATAATATCAAAAAAGAGAGGGAAATAAATTATGCATAATTTACTATCTGGGAACAGCTGATTGTTATTATTCTTATCATTAGAATAAGTACCATTACAACATTAGCATGAAGAGGCAGTTCAACTGAAAAAGAACACACACAGTCATCAAATACCGCCAGTAAGCTATACAAAACATCTCTGACATTAAGGAGAGGGGGAGAGAGGGAGAGAGAGAGAGAGGGAGGGAGGGAGGGAGAGGAGGGGAAAATCTTAAGAAAAAGAGTGCAATCCTAACAACAGTGGATTATGAAAGGTATCTAGCATCTCCGCTATCCATCGAAGCACTCTCCAAACTTTTCAGTGGCGCTGAGGTGTTGCTTGATTTACTGGAGGCTGGCCGAGGGCGCATGACTTTTGCAAAGGCATTGTCTTTTCTTTATGAGCAATGGGCAATGCTTCCGAGAGTTAAGAGGGATGGAGATGGGCCAACCCAGTTTTAATTTTTTAAAATTAAAAAGTCTCTTCTGAGACTTCTCACTGCTAACTCCTCCAATATCCTCTTTAGCTCTCAGAAAGTTCAGTAAGATGTTCTGAATCATTCCTAATGGCTGAAGTTCCATAGATGTCACTGCCTTGTAACTTCTGGGCAAGGACAATAGTTGTGCTACCAAGCTGACAGGTATGATGTCTGATGACCATGCCATGATCATGGAAACAGCCTGATGTGCCTGAATGTATCTGATAGCTACACTTATTTTTAAGATGGTGGCATTGTTGTCAGATATGGCTTGCTAACACAATGGAAGCAATGTCCAGGTTGCAACCAGTGTGGCGGGCAAACACACTGTAGCCACAAAAAATGGGCAGATATTTCTGAGGCTCTAGTGTCCACAAGACTTCCATTTTGCTCTGGCACCACCCAAACCAGCCATCTTTATACCAAGCTTCTCAAAGAAGTAGGTCCACACACATTCAAAGGAGAGTCAATGAGCATTGGTTAATGACCTGATGAACAACCAAGTGATTGACACGTACGAGTGACTGGCAAATAGATTTAAGGAGATGGAAGGGGCCACTATCATCAACGATTCATATTGGGGCAGAATCCAATGACTAAAGAATCCCAGACAGATACTCTGTCCCGGAGTGGGGGAAAATCAATGGAGGCATTCCACTCCCTTTAGTACAGGAATCCATTGAATCAACACTTGATAAATTTGCAATTAGATAATTAGACAATCTAATGCCAGCACTGCAGATACAAGCAAGTATGGCTGAGGATGGGGTATGCAGACTGCTTGGCCAGCGCTTGGTCCCAACCCTTGGAATTTAAGGTGCTGGTGCAGACATGTGGGTTGGTGGCACTTTTGGGGAAGAGTTGCCAGGGTCTACAAGTACGTGGCTGCAAAGCATTATACACAGTACCGAGCTGGTTGGATGGAAGATGTGCTGGTAACGGAGCAGAAGTGAAGTCAGGGACATGCCTTCTTAAAAGCCGTGTCTGCACTAAACTCTAGAATTCCCCCTGAAGGTAACTCAGATTCTGCAACTATTATAAACAGTGCAGAGTAAACACACTTGTTGCTTTTCTCTTCCCCCACATTATTTGTGCTGTGCTTTTGAAAACTACTCTGCGTCATTCGCAGCACAAGTTTACTCAGAACTCTCTAGTAAGGAGTTTAGGACTGCAGACTCAGTTGGGTTCTTCTGACCACAGTGAAGCTCCACAGTGTCCATAAACTCCTATCCAACTGATCACCAGAAGTATTATTCAGTGACTTCTCTAAACTTTCCACCCCTCCACACATACCTTCACAATTGTAAGGGGCAGAGAATAGTTGATCGTTTGAGCAAAGGAACACTGAACTTCTCAGAGCCCCGTTTTGATTCTGTGCTGTACCATTATCACGGGTTACACAGACAGTTGTGTACAGAGCTCTTTTTCTGCAGCTGTCTGAAGCAGTAAACTGCCGAGAAAGAGATGATTAGTGACAAACAGAAGAGCAGAATAAATCACTCCCACCTGATCCACCAAGGAGTCTACAGTGCTTTTCTTAAAATGCACGCTACTCTGGGAACTATTTCTATAAACCATTTTTCCAGAGGAGCCGTTTACTCCAAAACAACCAGCCTCGAGGCTATAGGGTGACTCTGCAATAGCCTGAACGCCCACCCCTTGACGGTCTGAACCAAAGACCACTCATGCCACTGTTCTCCCACTTAGCTGACAGTCCCACTGTATTTATTTGGGTTAACACTCCAGTCTTCAAAAAAATAACAGCACGGCCATAGAGCCAATGGATTTTACAGCGTCTTACCTCCTCCTCATGCCAGGGAGCCAAACTTTACACAGGGTCTAAGATAGGACCCTGCCTCTTTCTCTCCACCATGGGGGAACAGCCAATGACATGGGACCGTGTGCACCAAGCATTCTCTGATATCCCAGTGTGTGGGGTGGTGCCAGGCACTAGAAGTCCTGTGTGCCCCTTTGGCAAATTGCTCAGGTTGTACATGTCAACAGGGCCGGAGAATTCACCTAGGTATGAATACTCTGACTTATTTGGCTTACAAATAAACCTGAATCATTTCAGGTGTTGAAATCTGCCTACAATACCCAATACCGCCCTGATGGAACTAGGGTAACGTCACATTTTGTAAGACACGTCTAGCAGAGCAATCCGAACTTAAAGGTCCCGTTTGGGCATGAGGACCTGCAGTAGGGAGCATGCTTCACACCGTGGGTCCCGGGGAGGGGGACTGGTGTCTGCCCCCAACATCGGTGTGAATGTCTTGCCTTGCTCAATCTTCGTGGTTTCTGCTCCCATCCTGCTTTTGGAGAAGGAAAATTATCACAGATATGGGGTGAAGTACATCATACACGTTTTTCACAGCTCATACGTGGGATTTGGTGGCCATGCTCAGCCCCACCTCAGGGTGGGTGTTACTTTGGGTCTGAAAGTCAGAACCCAGGGCACTGGCATCTCTTTCAATCCAAATGCTTGCATTGGAAAGTGAGCCCTTCAAATCCTCAACCCAGTGCTGGAAAATCTACTTCTACATGTAGTAACTTGATGTGTAAATTAAGGATGCTATACAGACTCAAACATTTTGGAATATTAGCCAGGAACTTATTTTACCCCTAACAATTGTGTCAGTTTTTTCTTGTCAGTACCATATACACACAGACAACATACACAAATCCAAGATCTTAAAAAAAACAAACAAACAATCCTCTTACGTTTCTCTCTCTCTTTCTCTCTGTTTCACCTGAGAATGGCACCTACAGTTTCCTTTAAAGTTTTTTTTTTAAGCAGTTAAAGAAATCTAACTTTACCAGCTTCTATCAGTTTCTTCAAGGGATTGTCTAAGACACAACCCTGCCCTAACTTAAGACTGAATATGATATGAAAGGAATAAAGAAAAGATAACCAACTGGGAAAGGAAAACATGGAATGGAAGTCGTTCCACATGTGGGTACAAATTTGGCACTTGCTCAAAAACTACATCTGGGGTGCAATTGGTGAGAGGGGCCCTGACTGGAAGGGAAGGGGCTGACAGGCAGGCCAGTTGCAGCCCGTGCGGCAGGAGACACTCAGTTCATGCCCATCCAGTTTCAGCACAGACTGGGGAGGCAGGGCAGGCGGGTGATTTAGTCAAGTCCAATGCAGCGATTGGAGGGCCCCATCAAAACATGAGCGTAAGGAAGGCCAGATGTGGGGCGAAGGGGGATGGACTGCATGTTTTGCTGGGAGGAATGGCTATAGGTCAGTAGCAGAGCTTTTTCATTTTAATTTATTTATCTATTTTGCATCACGTCCCAAGTCCAACCCTTGCCATCTCCTGAACTCAGAACCTTGGCAGAAGGACCGGAAAGCAACTCCCTGCCCAGCAAGGCAACCAGGTGCTAGAGGGACTGAGGTCCTTGCTAGAGGGCCTAAGGCAGCTTGTTCAGTTCCCAAAGCGTGGGCTACAGAGCTATGTGACTTGCAAAGGTTTATTGCAGCCTGCACAGCAAGCGGTTTCCCCTGGTGTAGATCTGGCCAGGGTGCCAAAGAGCTCCCACACGCTGGGCCTCCTGGGCTGGATGGCCCCAAGATGCTTCTGTGCCACTGAGCAGCTGCAACACTGGATTTGAATGCACAACACTGCATGGGCCAAAACTGGTTTGCTCTCCTCATTCCAGCCAGACGCAAAAGCGCCGTGATCCCTAACTCTGGAAAGGAGGAAGAAGAGAAGGTGGGAAAGTCGGAAGGGGAAGTATAAAGAATTTTACTATCTTTCCCCCCCCTTGTCAGGTGCATAACCTCCCACCAACCTTCGCCACTAAATCTTTTTTTCTTTAAACTGTAGCACAAAACAACAGAACACATTCACAAGCCACTTGTTAGCACTGTGTACCTGAGTGAGAATTTTCTAGAACATTGTAGAACAAACAGCCATAAAGTTTATTTGAAAAAAAATAATAAAAGGTTGAACGGGTAAGACTTCAGTGCTTGGGTGTAGCAGCTGAATTACTGGCATTATGTTACCCATAGCTTATTTTCGTCCATTATTTTATTCTTTTTTTGTCATGGTTAGTTGTTTTCTTTGTCATGGTTTCTTCCTCTGAGCCTTCGGTCTCTTTTAAAATTTCTGTTTTGCTTTTAAAAAGTTTTGGATGCAGGTGGATGCCTGCACATCAGCTGACGTCCCAACTAGTTAAGACTAAAAGTTTTAAGTAACAGTCAGTGTGTGAGGATTAAGTTCATGTGCTTGGCCACTGGCTAAGGAACTTGCTGGGGCTTCTTCCCATGGAAGTCCTCCAAGGTCAACAGCAAGAATCAGGACCCCGTATCAGTTAGCTTGCCCTGCAATGTGGTTTTCACTGTCACTGCCATAGTCCACGTCGGGGTCATCGTCCTCTTCCTCATACTCCTCGTACATTTCGCCATTGATGTCGTCGGTCTGCATCTCCTCCTTGATGTGAGAGGTCTCCTCGCTTTTGATGCCGTAAGTGCTCTGGATGACGGGCATCCCTGGTTCTGGGCTGCTGGACACACTCGAATGCTCCGAGGGCAGGTGCGGAGAGGGCATGCCCGTCATGGCAATGGCCCCTGGGTAGACGACGCCGGCCGTCACAACAGGAACCTGCGCTTGCTGTCTGTTGGCAGAAATGGGGAAACGTGAAAAAGAGAGCCACGGAGCCATGCGAAGCCTTTTTCATCCCGCTCCCCGGCCAGAAAGGCTCCTGAGGGGGAATGAGATGGTCCTCGCCCTCTGGCTTACAATCTAAAAAGACATGACCTGCAAGGAAAGAGGGAGGGACAAAATGGCCCCATCATCCTATGCTGAGCTATCTGGACCCAAGAACTGGACGCTTCAGAGGGTCTCCTCCTTTTCAGGACCAGGTGAAAACCTTTTCATTACTTACATCAGCCATTTTGAGCTTTCTGATTTGTTGTTTTAAAAGGGTTTTCTAGATCATGGTGCTGCTCCTGGCTTTTCCTTTGGTTTTCTATTGCAGTTTTACACTGTAAAACATTTTATATTTGCTTTTATCATGATCCTGTACCCTACTTTCTAACTGCTGCAAGCTTTGGCTCTTGGGTGGCATTGGACTATATATATCCGTGTATCCGCCTGCATACATTTTGGAGTCATAAGTTACCCTAAAGACATATAAAGTACATAAAAAACCTCCCATCCTGTCTTCATATATCCTGCAAATCCTATGAAAGAAACCCTTCACATTCAAGGTCTTGGAGGGCTGAAACTCCCATATTCTAGTTTAATAAGGTGGTAGCAACATTGCATGGCTATGGCAATGAAGAAAAGGCGCTCCCAACCATTGGGAACGACTGCTTTATCTATCTTTCCAAGAGATTTTGAGCTGAATGCCCAAGAGCATGTCACTAAAGGAAAACCTCACGGGAACCGGCACGGTCAGTACAGGCCCCACGTGCCATTTCTAAAGAAGAATATTCCTTCATTGTGCAGCGTAATGAAATTCCGCCTGTAGACATGAAGCCAGACTGCAACACTCATTTGCCATGGTCTGTACCTTAACTATAACTCATTTACTTGGGTTTGGCTTCACTGCAGTGTAGTGGTCTGAAGGACAGTGCTTGCTCATGTTTCAATTATTATGAGCATGATGCTTCGCATGTGAACTCATCACTGCCTACATACATCTGAGCCCTGGCAGGGTTTGGCAGAATCCGGTTCTCTCTCCTCTCTTAGCTGCGCTTGGCCGGGAAGCAACCCCATGAATGGAGTGAAGATGCAGCTCTTGGTTCGGGTGCAGACACCTTGGGGCAGCCCGGGACAGGTGGGCAGGAGGGGAAGGTGAGTCCTTGCTCTGCTGAGGAAGACTCTCCCCCACCCCCAAGACAGCACCTTGGATTCCAAGGGAAGCCTGCATTTCCACTCATCTAGATTTCAGGTGGCAGGACAGGGAAGCATCATTGTGCAGCACTGGCGATACTGGGCTAGTGAGCACATGAGTTGGCTCCAGGCAGTAGGCAGACTCATATGCACAGCCACAACACCATGATAATCAAACCTAAGGCAGCTCCCTTTATAGAACCATAGAATAGTCGAATTTCTAAGGGGCCAAAGGACCATTGGCTCCAACCCCCTGCCCAGAGCTCCCAGTTACAGCATCCCCCTCAGACGGCTGCCCAGTTGCATCTTGAATGCCTCCAGTGTGGGAGAGCCCACCACCTCCCCAGGTCACTGGTTCTATCACCATATTTCTCACACAGTTGGGACGTCCTTCCTGATGTCCAGCTGGAACCTGGCTTCCTGCAACTTGAGCCCCTTCTTCTGTGCCCTGTACTCTGGGATGATGGAGAAGAGATCCCGGCCTTTTCTGTGTGACAGCCAACCAAGGACTTGTAGAGGGCTATCCTATCTCCCCTCGGTCTTCTCTCCTGGAGGCTAAACATGCCCAGTTCTTTCCTTCTCTGCTCATAGGGCTTTCTTTCCAGTTCCTGATCATCCTTGTTGCCCTCCAAACCCTTCATCTCACACGCGATCTAAAAACCGGGGACGACGTTCGCCTCATCTTTCTTTCTCATGGAAGTGCAAAGTGGGAAGGGATCCCACGCCAGGCATCTGCTTAAACCCCTCCCTTTCAGCCTGCGAAAGCTTGGCAAGTCGTGCCCGATGTACTAGAGAGCTGAGTTATTTTAGGCCTCCTCAATTCCTTCTCCAAATCTCGGAACGCCGGCTGTGCTTATATCCCCGAGAAGCTCCAGGGTCCCTGCAAGCCTAGGGTTTAGCGCTGATGCTCCTTTTGTCGCCCTGCAGCAGGGGCTAATTCAATTGCGATAATATTGTGCAGAACACGCTTTGCATTGTAATGTCATCAAAGGTGTGTCCATCTGCAACGAAAAGCCTTGCCGCGGGAGACAAGGGGGAGGTTTCTGGAGGAGAGCAGGCTTAATTGAGAGTGAAACTTTGCCTTGCTTCTTTACACTGTATTTATAATAAGCCTTTGAATAATCACGCAAGGCGAAGGATTGGCTCTGAATGCCTTGCCGCATTTCCAAATCTTTTTGCTAGTTCTTCAAGCAGTGTGACAAGACAAACAGACCTATCTGGGATCAGGGGCCTGATTATCTGTCCCTTGCTTTCTCCAGTCCTACCAGGAAACCTTGCTGCTGGCTATCTACTCTGGATGAAGAACTGCACAGGCCAGGATTTCTGAAAGGGGGCCAGGATCTACACCAACAGGCTGAGGACTCCAGAAAGTGTGCACACCATTTTCCCCTCTTACCGCTACTGTGATTCTTGTCATGGTTCCACACAATGATGGCTCTAATGGAGCCTTGTTGGGGAGTAAGAAAATCCTGCTCATTTTGTTCTCCCAACTCCTAACTGCAATCAGAGTCCTTCCCCCAATTCCCATTCAGGAAATAAACCCGGATTTGGACTGTATCATTTCAGAGTGGGGACCCACATAATGAATGGCTACTCTATAACACATGCACAAGCATAAAGAGGACTGCCTTATTAAGAAGAGAATTAGGCAAAGATCTTTCTCCTTGCTATTCAGCTTTATTTTACACAGGGTAGGAATCGTCTATGGAGGAACATTCAGCATCCATGGGAAGCCCCAACTATGATGTGAAAGTAAGATGGTCAAGGGCCAGCTTTACCACTTCCTCGTCCCAGGTCATAGTTGCGACCATTTCAAAAGGGACGTGAAATTAACTAGACTGACTCTTTCTGGTCTAATCTATTTTAATCTTTCTTCTTTTTCAAAGGCTCCACCAATGTGCATATGAAGAGATTGCTGTAAATAATTTCCACTAGGCTTGGGTGAGCTGGAAGGTGTGCGCGTGAGAGAGAGAGAGAGAGAGAGAGAGAGAGAGAGAGAGAGAGAGAG